ATTTTAATAGAATAAGGTAGCTTGTCAGTCATATCAGGCACATACCCTTTCAGATCCTCACAGTCATTATCACTGTTGTATAAGAAAACATCTAAATGATTATTAGAGCTCATTTTATATTATCTATAGATGATTGTGGTTTTCCTTTTTCATTCTTTTATGTTAATTTATGTATTATAGTGAAATACTGGGGAAAATGCAAACATTGTTTTTCAGTCATAACTCAGCAAGAAATTGAAGTAAAAATTTCACGAAGATGTCATATACATCCCAAAATATAATGGCTTTATATAATATGATTTAGACATTTGTTGATTAATTCAAATAGCATACGCAAAACTTTTGTTAAGCAGCAGTGATGTGCATTTGTTCATTTATGTTCATTTCAGATATATTGGTAAACTGAAAATTATATAGATGTATGAAATATATTGTTTTGAATATACAAGAGCAAATAAGTCACATTATATGAGAAAAGCTGCCTGTTATTTTAATATGCAAGTTGAAAGTGTATGTAAGTTGGCATCATGCCTTATGTAAATTTGGTAATGAGTGTGCCCAAATATTCTTTCCTATCTGAACTCTGGAAGTTTATTGTGTGTGTGTGTGTGTGTGTGTGTGTGTGTGTGTGTGTGTGTGTGTGTGTGTGTGTGTGTGTGTGTGTGTGTGTGTGTGTGTGTGTGTGTGTGTGTATTTGTGTATTTGTGTATTTGTGTATTTGTGTATTTGTGTATTTGTGTATGTGTGCATGCCTGCATGCATATATATGTGTGTGTGTGTGTGTGTGTGTGTGTGTGTGTGTGTGTGTGTGTGTGTGTGTGTGTGTGTGTGTGTGTGTGTGTGTGTGTGTGTTACTGAATGGACAGTGTGTTTAACAGAAAATGCATAAGCAGCGCAACTCTTTGAATTTAACAAGTCAGTTCCTTGCACTTGTTGGTAACTGATCTAGAACACAGTCTCTCTAATAAAAGTTCCAACTACTGTTTAATTTAATAGAGAAGTACAATGCATAATCATGTGACAGAATTGCTCCCAGAATGTGAAAGAGGAATATAACATGAAAAAAAAATTAGATATTTAACAAATTTTTTATCCTTTGTATATATTTTATAATGGTATGACATATACCTTCTGTATATTTTCCAGAAATATTGTTTAAATTAATTTTGTATGATAATAGCTAATGTTTTAACCCTACAGCTGTGATATATACTTAACTATCTGGAGAAATGTTACAGGAATCACATGGAAAATTACAGTATATACTTTTCTGCAGTGTATGTTGCATTTTTGTTTTATTAATCTTCTTTCAAGGTTTCTCACTGAAGGGTTATAGATAATAGGCTCATGTGGCATAGTATATCATCTTCCTTTTAAATCATGCACACATATACACATACATGTATAGATAGCTAAATAGTTATAGATATAAAGATATATGTATATCTTAATGTATTTGAGTAGGGGAGCTAATAGATATGGAGAGTTGAAATGCAGAGGTATTAAGCATTTTTTATAAATATGTTATAATTTTTTATAACATTAATTAGGAATATTATCTCTTCTTTTCTGTGTCATCAAAACTTACTTGTTATGTTTTGGTATAATAAATTACAGCCTATCCATTCAAAGTACCAGGTTTATTTTGCATGTATATTTTAACACAGTATGATATATACTTAAAAAGTGATGGTCTGCTTTGACTTTTAAACCAAGCTCTTCAGCTGTATATGCAGGTAGGCTGATACAAGTATGTCTATGTGCTTATGTGTGTGTGATTATATGTGATTATGTGATTATACAGATGGTATGCAATAGACCTGTTAATCATTGAATTTTTGATCAAAGGTAATGTACAAACCAAACCTGAATTGCAGTATGAAGTATATTACATAAAATGATGTGCGATATTATACCATTTGGTCACATAAAAGATTAGGCTCTATTATTGTATGTAGGCTTACACTTCAATCGGCACGTGAACTACACTTGTATTGTATATTATATTGTTTATCTAGTTCTTATACTGAAAAAAACAAGCATTCCATTATTCTACTGAATTCATTCCATTGGTTCATATCAGTGTCTGTTTTATTAGAGAATTATTGTTTATTAAACCAGGAAAGTTTCTTCTTTACCCCTTGTTCCCTTGTGATATGATTGATTAGTTTGTTAAAAATGTATTCTTTGTAATTTCATAATAACACTAAAAAAGGGATAATAAATTTTTCCCAGTATAACATAGTACATTGTAGTTGTAACAATTTTTTTCTCTCTGAAATTACATGATAAATGCAGTAAATTGCCAACATCAGTAATATAGACATTTTCCAAATTTACTATGTACACAAAGGATTAACAGTCTCAAAGAGGGTTAAGTATAAGCTGTCTTCCTATCCCTGTCTTCTTTGGATTAGACTGACTTTGTAATAATACCTGTTCATGCTCAATGTTTGCCATGGCTATATGTTCCTTAATATTTATGTCTTGGTGTCACAGATGCACTCATAAGAGTACGGTCAGCTTTACTCCATGCAGTAACTTTGTTTCCCCCAAGATCATACAAAAGCTGGAATGATAGAAAAAAATATCAAGGTGGAAGGTTATCCAAATACATTTCCAAAAAACAAAACAAAACACGATGCAGGATTTTTAGACATATGTAAATTTATGGTATATAAACATTTAATAACTCATATTTACAATTCCGCAGTTAAACAAAAGAGAAAGGCAAGAGTGCTGTTTTTTTCTTTCAGTGGTTTTCATAGTAATTCTTATACTAACAACTATCTTTTGAAACTCTATCAAAGGTATATTACATGAACCCTTGATTACATCACGGGAGATATGGACGTCATTGCAAAACAGCTGAACATAGATTGATGTAACTGTACTGCATAGACTATATTTTGTGATATGGAAATATAAAGCTATGATTAAGGACATTATTTTCTTAGCTTATTACTGCATTTGCTGTATTTATATTAAAGGAAATAGGTCAAAGGATCATCTGACAAGAGCAACTTCATTTCTTATCTCTTTTTACACATTACCCATTCAAAGTGTCATTCCACTAGAATGGTCTATGTATACCAATTACGCAGTTTCCTCCTCTACAAGGGCTGTGATAGGATGGTTTTATTGTTCTTTGTTAGGGAACTGATAGCTAGATGAATCATGTGAGGCTAGTTATATTCTGTGAGAAATAGGTAGCTAGGCTATAACAAGAACAATTATTTGTATTTCTGTTGTGCTCTTGCAAAAACAGGTATTTATATTCAAATAATAGCTTTTTGTATGCCAAGAGAAGGATTACCTATTCTCGAACAAATAACCGTATACACTTATGAAGTGAGTTGGCTGTATTGCAACAAAGGTTAACTGTACAGCTTCGGAATAAACTAGTTGTAGCCCTGCTGTGTATAGGTTTCCCATCAGTAACTGATGTAGCTAAATTTATAATTAGTGTTATAACTAAGAAATTTGTATGGCATACATGTGGGGGTTTTATGAATAAAAGTTTACTGGTGTATACATTCCAAATTTTGTATATATAGCACTGTATTTGAGTTTAAATAAAACAAAGCAAATATTAGTTACTTTCACAAAGAATATAATGCTCAGATGGATACCTGTATGAGAGATTGTATATCCTTGAAATGCCTGGTTTTATGATTTTTTATTATTATTATTATTATTATTATTATTATTATTATTATTATATATATACATTTATATTTATATATATATTTGTTTTTGTTTTTCTCATATCAACAAGATGTGAAAATAGCTAGATAATTTACAGGATTTTAATTTTCATTTAAAATATGAATGCATACTCAGGAGGGATATACCAATCTCACAAACACGTTTACCAAATGAAAATTACCATAACCCAGTCTTTTCGTTAGTACTGCTTGTTTTTCACTTTACTAACCCTCCTTAAATCAGTCTTCCATTTGATAAAATTTTGAACTAGATCTTTTAACCGAGACTGGAAAACATTTTGGATTTATTTAAACAAATTGTTAATAAATGAAATTCATATGCAATTTCTTGAGATATTTTCTTGAGAATAAATCACATAGATCCTGTAATATGTACATGTGTGTGTGTGCATGCAAAATGCACACAATTATTTAACCAGATGTAAGAAATGACTGCTATACAAAAGAAAATATGATTATTGTATATATGTAATTAGAATGGCATGACATTATTACAAGAATGTAATGGTCATTTCTGTTATAATTATCTTTCATATATATCCTCTAGTATTACCATTAATACTGCAATGTTTGTTATAAGAAGAGTAATGGTTATTATTGTCATTGTCATTATCATCAAGAGTATTGCAACACATTTTTTTTTTTTCTTGAAAACGTAAACCTGTTGTCGTTATTATCATTATGATTATGAGAGAGACTTTGCAGCTACATTATTACTTTTTTTTAATACAATTCATGTTGTTATTTCATTCCTGTTGCTCATTCCTAAGACAGCAATTATAATAGTGTCACTTTGTAAATATTTTGCTTTAGTATGGGCAAGCCCTATTTTTTTATTTTTTTATAAACAACCATTTTTATGTTTCATTTTTTATGAGTTTTTGCTGGTGATTTGGCTATAGTAGATAATTCTTGATAACCAATATCTAGAAACAATAAAAGTATGTTATAAAGTGTAATGGTATCTTAGCATATTTTATAATTTTAAATATTTATATTCATTGCTCAGGTACTTAGATACTGTAAATTAATGAACCTTAAAATTTAAGGTTGACCAGATGCCATAAAGTGTTTCAGATATAATGAGTGAGAGTAATCTTCTCAATCCTTTTTATGCCTCTTTGTGGATAAAGACTGTTTGTTTAAGTTCTAAGTGTAATGATTTTGGCAACTTCATGTATGGTTGCTTGCAGGATTCTGTGTCCTTGGGAACATTAGTAAAATATCACAAGTACATAACTGCTGCAAACATTACACCTTTTTCTCTCCCTCCATACCATGTAGATCCTGTCTTGTTTAGTACAACTCCTGTTTATTATTACCAGAAACCTGCAGTGCATAATCAAATGATGTGTGTGTTTATTACTGCTTTATTGGGAGTTGTATTACACATGGTATGATCACATCTGAGTGCTTATGTTTGCTCTAGTCCCTGTGTTGGGTTGTGAGGTGGAGCTGTAAAGACTGATGGAAATAAAGATTTATATGTAGCCAGTGTTTATGTAGCAACCCTTCTACAGAAAAATTCTACTCAGTTCATATACTAAATAAGTGATAAAATGGACAATGATTTTTTATAAAAAACTAAATAAGAAAAAAAAATTTCAATCAGCCTTGCCTCCAAAAGAAAGATTGTTCATACCGATTTCTGTTTTCACAGCTCAGAAGTACATCCTTGAGAGATAGTGTATTGGTTTCATAACTGAAAATGGTGACCTTTTCTGGTGCATAAAAAAGTAATATAAATATTAAAATAGACCAAATCAGAGAGTATAACAGCCAAGTTACAAAAGCTGTCACATACTTTAACAAAAGATGTCCCAAAAATGGAGAAAAAATGGGGACTGCCTCAGCAATGGATGGGACTGGGGACTATCTTGGAGGACATCATGTATAAGTAAACAGAAATGCTTAACTGTTTGCTTACATATTTGCAAGTGCATCATCTAGTGTACTTGTGTCTTTTGGTTTGTTCTTGTACAGTTAAATTAAATTCTTTGTTAGCAAGCAGTCATAAGAAAACAATGCAAAGCAACCACAATGGATCACAGAAAAATTAATTACATTTAAAAATGCTAAGACAATGCACTATTTACATGAAATTAGAGAAAGATATGTATATTCTGCAACAATTATAGTTATCAATTAAAGCAAAGAATGATTTTGCTTATAAACCAACAGGCTCACTACTAAAACTTCTTTTCAATCACAACAACCAAAGATATGGTTTCTCAACATATATCATCTGCAGTAAAGCTTTATTAGATCCCATAAAATTTTATCTTATTCCAATATTTAATGAACATTCAGAATTCCTTTATGTACTTGTAAAATATGTTTACAGCCACTAACCAATAAACCCAATATGATATTTATGATGTGTTAAAATGATAGCGTGAATATACCATAGCTAATAGTGTGTGGTTGAAAGTACACCAGAAAGGCGGACCTGCTTGGAAGACAAACCACATTTTAATTTTTCCTTTTTTTTATATTTTTTCTTCTTTTTTTTCAGTTTTTAAATCTTATACTTATGTACCTATGAGGTTTCACAGTCTTTATCATTATCATGTAAGAAAAACAAACATTAATCTTTGGTATTTAATACATTTGATTATCACAAAAGACTTATTCTAACACATATTTACAATACAAATGATGTGCCTTTGAGACAGTCTGAAAATGTTAATTGTCAAACAAAGAGATATAAGATTTTTTTAAATAAAAAATCCATATAAAATCTATAACAAGATAGACACATACATCAGTTATTTTATAAAACACTTTAAAAATAAATACTAAAGATAAATATTTTGTATTATATTAAATAATGATTTTAGGGAAATATTTTTGTAAATTTTAGGGAAATATCTATGTAAATTTTGGAGAAATATCTATGTAAATTTCATCTTAAACATTAATAAACAAATTAAGTAGTAATTCTTAATAATGATATTCAGCAGTGTAACAAAGTGACATGTAAATGGATATCAATCTAAATAACAGTCTTCTACATTTTGGGTAAAGAATGAATACATATGATTACATGCACAAATATATATATGTGAAAATAAATTATAAAAAAGGAAACCATCTATAAATGCTGCTTGTGCGCTGAGAAAAAGAACTGATATATTCACTTACTTTTTAAAAATAAAACACTGAGATTCTGTAATTCTTAATTTCAATTTCATTTGACATGCTGGAAACTTTATCTTAAAATTGACATAACATTTAAGAGATCTTCAACTCAAAATAAGTTACACAAATAAAATACCAGTAATATAAATGATACAAAACGATAAATATAACCAGTATTTTGAGGACCTGTTGTGACTCAATTACCAAACTTCCCCACACAGAACCCTGATGCCCTTATTGCAGACATTTTAAGGGGCCATTAAAGTGTCCCCATCCCTTCGTGGCATTGCAAAATTGCACTCGCACGCTCACCTTTCTCTTGCATCCTCAAATTATTGGAAGATTTGAGGGAGAGTTTTAAGTGAGGGTTAACCTAGCCTCACAGCTGCCCTCCATTCCTTTTCCATAAGTGATGCATCAGAATAACTTTAACATTGTGAATAATCTAATAATTGTGGTATTTTCTACTTGTTACATCCTATTATCTGTTACGTGCTCCCATGGCTGATGAAACCAATTACTATTGGGAAGACAATGAAGATTATATAAAGAACATGCATTATGTGAATGCTGGCCAATCAAGTTTTGTGTCCTTGAAGAAAACACCAAAACAACATAAAATTGTTATAAAATCTACTTTACTTTCATTTCCTTCCTATGAAATGAAAAATGTGGAAGTGTTGAAGTTATGCTACAACTACTGTGGGTGAATATAAACATATATAGGCTGACATGTGAGTGTGTGTGGATTTTCTTGGTCTTTCCGCATACCTTTTGGAACAAATGGAACTAGGCTGCCGATCCCAAGTTGGACACACCACATTAGCAGATAACCAAACTTACAAGAAATTATGTATAATTAATTGCGAAGTATTTTTTTTACAGCTTAAGTCGAGATATTAAGGTATTAAGAGCCTCCCAGTCACAATTTTGTTTGCACCATTGAAATCATCAGAGAAGTCTGTAATTCCTTTACATGTAGCATTTATCTCTTATATCATTATGATTTTCCATCTGCTGTCCAAAGGGTATGAGAGAAAAAAAAACACACAAAATTCCAGCCTAGTGTTTGGGTGCATTCAAAATTACATCAGTAGTCTCGCTAAGAGTAAGAATCAAAACATATTTCATATGTTCAAACATACTAATAAGACTTCACTAAACGCAGTTATTTTTGTAGGGCTACCAAGCCTTGCAAAAAATATAATGAGTCGAACCAATTGTTGCAAGAAGGTGTAAGGGTTGGCCATCAGTTTGCTGTAATACCATAAGTTGAAGGTTCCTCAAGACAGGGCCTTCTTGGAGGGTACACATTAAGGTTCCCATAAATATTCCAACTCATGTAAATAGTGATAAGTCTAATGAGATTCCATATACCACATTGTAAGAGTCAGGTTCTGACCACATAAAAAAATTCAAGTTCAAGGAAAACTGCTTAATAACAACGAAGATTAACAAAGGATGCCTACTTGACTTAACCCAATAACTCCAGGTGGCAAGACATAAGGTGCACTTCTGACAAAAATACAAGCAAGCTATGATTTGGTTTGGCTTGCTTCACCTTGCTGAAATCCTCAAAAACATTCACAACACCCAGTTTGCTAACAGCGTAACCAACCACAATAATATGATAGCACAGTTTCCATTGTAGTCGGTGACTACAGTGAATTTAACCAAATGGAAATCATTCCTTGTCTTGGTTTTGCATTAACTAAAAATGGTAAAGGAAATAAAAAAAATAATAAATAAATAATTTACATGGTCTGAGTATAAAAGACAATCAGTAACTAGAAAAAAAAATCCTTTACATACTTTAGTGCACTTATTCAAAGGATTATAAATGCTTTTATTAACAAAGACATCTTTCCAACTGAAAATTCAAAATAGAAATAACAAAAGCAAAATTTAAACAGTTTTTGAACATCTTTAGGATGGTCAAAATACAATCTTTAGTAGCTAATAAATATCTTTTAATGAATAGTAATGCTAATAGTATACTCTAGTTAATAGTTCCTGTTGACACCAACATGATTACAACTTGGTAGCTTATAGTATCATCTGTTGGTCACAAAATATGTAAATTATCATAAGTATTTCATATTAATCATGAATTGCATTCTCCTTTTCATTCATACCTTTCCACATGTGAATCCACACAAATGGCCAGTAAAGATCTCAGATGCTGTCGGTAAAACAGTAAAATCATGCATTACACAAAGGCCACCAAAATTTCTTTTGGAGTACGTACATAATGCTAATGGTAATGTAGATCATTATATGGCATGGAATATGGCTGAGAACAATACCTGAGCAAGGAACATGACAGGCAGGCAATTGGTCATTCACTCTCCACACACACCTGGAGTTATCAGGTTTAAGGTCACTGTGGTAAGCAAACCTTATTTCGTGATACCTTCTCGTTCTATTTCAGAAATATGAGGGCACTACCTGAGTATTAAACTATGAGTAGGTTATCTGTGATTATAAATCAGATGTATAGTCATTTCACTATGGCAATGATGGGAAGATTGTGCAATTGTATGGAAGAGCATACCATAAACATGGCTGACTGGTGCATTATCATTTGAAAATTTACAGCCGGATCCGGAAGCAACTGAAAGAAAAAAGAAAAATTGTTAGGAGGGCAAATTAATATTCTCATAAAAGTAATATCTTTGGATCTTGGAAACAGGAAACAAAATGTAGTTAACCATGAATTAAAAAATCATTCTTTATGAGGTGAATTAAAACTTCTAGATTTTCAAATCTAAGGAGTTTTACCAAGATGTAAACTTTATATAATAAACCAATCATTACATCTTACTTAGCAAAATCTGCAGACTTGGATATGACATGCTCAAACTCTGCAAAAGCAAGCATGCCATCGTCATCCAAATCAGCTTCTTCTAAAACCCTTGTAACCAATGCCTGAAAGAGACGTGAAACGTTTAAAGCTTCAATAATCAATATTCAAAGTACGCTATGAATTAAAACTACAAATTAAAGTTACTACAAATTAACCACTCTACTCTCCTACTTAAAAAAATATTTGCCACTGACTTTTTATAACATTCTGAGCAAAATCATATTCATAAATTTGCAATACAATTGATAACAATCTTTCACTCGAAAAATCTACATGCTGAATTTCATTTCTTTCAAGGTAGTTACATCTAAACCTAAAGCACACATACCTCCATGTCTTCAGGCTTGAACTGCTGGGGAGCTACAAGCTTGTTGATTGTTTTTTCTAAATCTCTTCTGCCAAGATAGTCATCCCCATCAAAATCTATTAACAAAAACAAAATAATAATTAAATTATGTTCTGTTGCAGTACTAACCTTCTGTCTCATAAAATACATACTAAATTCAATGAAAATCATGTGCACTTATCCTGAGGAAGAAGTCTTTGATCCTTTTAAGTGTTCTTAGACTTTAGATAATGACTAGATCGCACTTTATTCCAGGCACCTACTAACAAATTAATGACACAAGCCTACCAAAAATGCGGAATGCATATTCTGCTTTCACCGACTTCGGAGCAGCTTCACTAAACACAGACATCATATCTAGGAAATCTTCAAATGTGCAGTCACCATCCTGTGGAAAGAAGTGTTTACAAAAATCATAATAAAGAGTACAAAGAAACATAAATTAAGAAAATATATTCAAAAGAAATCTACAAGAAAAATGAGTAACATGAATTACTGTACGCTTAAGAAAATGAAAAGTGACAAACAGTGCTTCTCTATAGCTAAACTCATTACATTCAAGACACATTTACACTTTTGTGGTACAAAATCCCATTCTTTATAAGCTCTAACAAGATATGGTGTAAATAACCACACAATATCTTTCCTGTCTTCATTCATGCACTACAAAACTATCACATATATAATAATAATAAAATTTTCAAAAGTTTATGATCTTGTTGCCGCATTAAATACCAGCTACTTTAATTTCTCTTCAAATAATTCTCTCCGTCACCACACCTTTGTCGATGAGAAGATGAGGCACATCCGTTCTCCGAAGGGATTGGCCTGAAGTTCTGGGAGTGTCAGGAGCTTGTCCATGGGTAGCTTTGCATTACGGTTGTGTCCTACCTTCTCTGGGGCCAATTGCTTGAAGCGTTTATGGGCACTAGCAAGATCAGAGTATCAGATATTAGTGCATACTCTAAAATCTATTTAATTCTATCATAAGAAACCATTTGATGCCATTATAAATTATTCTTAAAAAGTCCAGACATTCAAGATAGTAAGCAATGCATTAGTATACATCAAAACTTAATCAATGCATCTGAGTTATATAAGTTCATTCCATCACTTTAATAACATACGTACATCTCCAAATGTTAATGTTAATGCTTAAAATGGATCAGTACAGTATAAAAATAAGGGAAAATAACTTACTATAATATCTCCTTTTTGGTGAAATATGTCAGATCCTGGAAGGTAATAAATATAATTAGTTTATATCATTAGATCAGAGGGAGCTGTAAACATTCAAAACACTTTTTTTGATTAATACAAAAAATAACTAAAGAAAAATTATACATGAAAATAATCAAATTGTACTCTATACTACATTTTATCATGCTCTTATCCACAAGTGATGACAGGTTCATTGAAGATAAAGTGAATAGTGTCTGAGAATAATTACAACCTGCAGTATAAATAGTGATGACCACTCATATCTTTGTAGCTTTGCTTATCATATCAAAGATGCACATGTCAACAATGGGCAACAAAAGGGAGTGAGATAGGGTTATTCTTCATACACTTTTGCACCATAGGCTACTATTAGAACAGAAAGTGGTGATTAAATATAAAATAAATTAAATAATCTACTGTTACCAGCCATTTAACAAAAGCTTTGTCATAAAATAATAATAGTCCTTGAGAATGGTTAATAATAATGTAATACATAATCAGAGCTTCACCAGCTACCAAGTAGGAGGAAAAAAGTACTTTTAAAATCTTTTGCAACTATATCAGATCAGATGGCATTCACTGTGCATGAACAAGAAACTCAATCGAGCTAAATAGAGTAATAACAGAATATTGTGAACCAGACACTTATGCAGGCCCTAACCAAACTAATAAAGTTTGTAATAGATCATTATATGACAACAGAGGTTAGAACATGTGGTTAAATTTTAGTTTAATTAAGTTTATGAAGGTTAGTTTTATATATAAGTGAGAAAAGCACTACCTGAAAATTATTGCTAGAAATATGACTGAACTTTCCAAGCTGGTAAAATGTTTACAACAACAATTGAAGATAATTCAAGCAAAATGAGTTACCTGAACTTTATCCTGCTTGACTATACTAAGGTGAAGATTTCTAGATGAGAGAGAGGGACTAAGAGGAAGCAGACTCCCTCAAAAGAGGTTTAAGATTGTGAAACCCTAAAAATACCAGGTATGGGCATGATAACAAGCTGAATATTAACATAATTTATTAATCTTATAAGTCTCTTTTATTGACTAAGAGATTTCCCCAATATATGCCTTTGCTGGATTACTTTAAAATACAATGAAAACTCCGGGGCTGAATTCCTTCCGAGGCCAGCATGACTCGGCTTGGGTGGAGGCCAATTGGAGGAAGCAACTCTTGTGACCTCTCCGTCCATGCCACAGGCACTATTTTCAACCGGCCATGCGGGTGCTTGGCCAACAGTACCCACTATGCAATTAGACAAGAATGGCCAGATGCAGGATCCTATACCAGCTCCAGTATGAGGAACATGAGCAAGGATAAATATGAAAGACTGACAATTTCCTCTCCTTTCTTTATAGGCAGGCACAATTTTAAGACTGACATGTAAGCAAAGGTTTCATTGACTAAAAAATGCAAGGCAAGAGAATGGACCATTAGACTTCTTCCCTGTATCTTTAAAGTATACAAGTAAAATGGCAGTATACTAGTGGTATTACCAGATGAATTGGTACTCAAATCAATTATGCACAGGTGAAAACTCTATTCATCCATGACACTGCTGTCACAAGCTAAAAATAAAGGCATTATCTAATATAGAAATGTATTCCTTACAGTCATTTACAGGAAAAAATGTATGGACATTCACTTTCTCTAATGACAATGCCCAATGAACATTAACTATTAATCGTAAGCAAAGACAGTTTCGTTTTCTATAGCATTCAGGCATTGCTAATTTTGAGGAAGTTTGGAGCTGGATGTTGTATTGTGATGAGATCTGTTCTGTATTTCCTCTATTAGCTTGGATACAATATATACACTGACAAAATACCAAGGAAGTTTACTATTAAACAAGAAACCAATCCAGTCTCTAACTTGACAGAATATATGTAGCAGGCATTTCTTGTACTTTGAATCAAAGTGTAGTAATTCTTTACATTACGGACACACACGCTAGAGACAAAGTCCCCATCTTCACATCACAAGATTTATTCAATAGTCAAAGTGACTGGGCATGCCAAAGGGAGGGTTGATGGGGGACTCTACCCCACCACCTCTTGGGTAAACACTGTCTTCCCCTTGGTATGCACGGCAAGATAGAGGTGAAACTCGGGAGCACCAGCTAGGCAGTGCCTTCCGTGATCTTTTCCTTTGTACCAACAACTTCAACTTTATTTTTGTCCCCTACAAAAATATCATGATCAATTTGCCATAGCTTAGTGCTTTAGTACAGTAAGGATTTACCAAAAGTGCTAGTAGGCATGGAGATAAATGTCATTATTGTGCACATAATATACATGCAGAAAATAAATAACATATTTTCCATTTCTCTTCTATTTTAGGCATATATAACTCTACTAAATAATTTGTGATGTAAGTTCTACACCCTGCCCTAAAAGGTTCACAAGCCTATTGAATGGTGAATGGACGACTTACCACCTTTGTATTGAAAATTAAAACTGGACTCATTCTAAGCATTCTAAGTTTTTTACAAAACTGCATTCATTAATGCATTTTTCTGGTACATGGTCAGAACACTTGAGCATCACAAATAACTATAATTCTGGTATCATTGGATTACTCTCATCCTCTACTATTCACATAGCCCTATGTAGGAATTATGGCAAAGGGACTCCCCTATACCCCACACACTGGGGGAGGGAATGCAGGAAATCAGGGAAACTGCAGGGTAAAATATGAAGGAAAATGAGGAGAGGGGAGGGGAGGGGAGGGGAGGGGAGGGAAGGGGAGGAGAGGAGAGGAGAGGAGAGGAGAGGAGAGGAGAGGAAAGGAGAGGAGAGGAGAGGAGAGGAGAGGAGAGGAGAGGAGAGGAGAGGAGAGGAGAGGAGAGGAGAGGGAAGGGGAGGGGAGGGGAGGGGAGGGGAGGGGAGGGGAGGCGAGGCGAGGCGAGGCGAGGCGAGGCGAGGCGAGGCGAGGAGAGGAGAGGAGAGGAGAGGAGAGGAGAGGGGAGGGGAGGGGAGGGGAGGGGAGGTGATAGGACAGGAGGGTATGATAGGACAGGACAGGATAGGATAGGATAGGATAGGATAGGATAGGATACGATACGATAGGATAAGGTAGGGTAGGGTCAGGTCGGGTCGGGTCGGGTCGGGTCGGGTCGGGTCGGGTCGGGTCAGGTAAGGTTGGGTCAGGTCCCGTTGTGTGGGTGGAGTGTGTGAAGTCACACACTAATCAAGTCTGAAGACATGACTCATGGGCCAATTGAATTTAAGAAACAATAAATGGCCAATAAAATTTAATTGTCATGGAAAATAGTTTGAGCATTGGGTTGTAGTTATGTTCCGTTCATGTTGCCAAGGATCTCTTTTGCTTTTAGTTTGGCTCTGTCTTGCCATGAATAGAAGGGGGCAAAGCCCCTTGTTAAAAGAAATAAACAAGAATACCTAAATATGAAATGCACGCATGACAGCTGTGACAACAGTGTTGAAGAACTCATTGAAATGGTGGTTTGCATTTGAAATGAAGGTTGAAAATGTGCGAAATACAACAAAATCAACTAAAAGATATGTTTCATATAAAATGGCCACCCATATTTTTGCTGAAAAATTACCCCACTTCGTACCAATTTATAGAAAACAGACATTAAGGACCATCAATATGAGAGTGCAGTGATATGCAGCAGATATTTTCATTATTTCATTCATCTGCTGAATGGAGGAGATATGAGTTT